GATAATAATAACAATGTATTTCTTTATCATGTAAAAGTCCGAGATTTTGTTCTTAATCCTTGCTTCTTCATGACGCTAAGATTTGCAGATTATAGATTGCTTCCTTATTATGCTACAGCGACAATTTTTACCTATTTAGTAAAGAGTTTGGTACTTATTGTAGTTATTTAGGATAGAGCTGTGTTCATTTCTCTCGTGCTGTCTGCTCCTCATTCCTACTGTTCTGTTACTGGTGATGCGACACTGAAATTTTCCCATTGTGGAACGAATAAAGGATCTCTCGTTAAAATATAGGTCATTAGTCATTACTGTAAGAGGTCTACCAGAAAACACAGTGACTTATGCACAGACAGTTTTCGGTAAACGCCTTAATGAGGCTGCAGAGCTCAGCCTGGACTTTATTGTCAACTTTACGAGGTGTGTGCGTCTGTGTGTGTGTGTCTGTGTGTGTGTGTGTGCGTCTGTGTGTGCATGTCTGTGTGTGTGTGTGTGTGTGTGTGCGTCTGTGTGTCTTTGTGTGTGTCTTTGTGGGATTCGAGGAGGTCACTACAGGGTTAACACGAGGGAGTAATATGTAGTTTTGTGGTTACATGGTTAAGCATTGACTAAATTACGAGACCTAAATAAAACAACTGGGATTATTAGCCACAATAAACAACATCTGCTTTGTCACAAAAATAAATATTAGTATATAAAATAGAAAACATGTTATGCACAATGACTTTGAGACTGAACTTTTCTTTTGGTTTCTCTCAATAGTAAGATTGGATGGATATGATACAGTTTTAACATACACAGAGGTCCAACTTACTCCATTTGCAGCTGATTATAGGCATTTAACAGGGTTCATGGAGAATTATGAAGCATGATTTTGCCAATGCAGTAAAAACAGGAAAAAAACAAGCTTTTTTTAGAATCTACATAATGTCTAAAATGATAAACGAAGGGGTTTCATATTGCTTGTTTCATAATACATATTTTCTTACACGTATGAAACATGGTTATGGAGATATTTAATGATCAATGTAGTTTTATTTCTATTTTGGATGTGAGGTCCTGCAAGAGTAAAATTTAATGTGATTTTTTTTTTTTCTGGGGGGGGGCTTTACGTCACTGAAATGGGATAAAAACAACAAACAAGACAAAACAAAGAAAAGTAAATATTCAACAATAATTATATATAATACATCAAACTTATAGCGCTTTTTTGGACACTCAAAGACGCTCAAATATTTACCGGTCTACACGCCCTACTCTAATGCTTTTACCTTAAATAGGCAAAATGTTAGGCCTAAATGAGTTTATTCCAGCTACTCCTTTGAAAAGTGAGGGAAAATTGTTGATTTATTGGGGAGAGCGAGATCAGGTACTTTCACCATCAACCGTGATTATTTATTATTGTTACAAGTACATAACATAAGTGAGAAAGTAAATAATACATTCTCAAATACATAAAATTTTCTAACAAATCATTCATCAGCCATTCTTTATTATGATATTGTACATAATTCAAACTTGAAAACGACACACCGGCGGTAGCCTTGCACAGTTTTTCCAATGTGGTTTTACTGCAAATGGCAAATACATTCTTGAATCTTGAGGAATGGGAGGAAGAAAAAAACTTACGCATTCCCACCCCTGTGATTATCATATATACATTTTTTGTCCTTGGAGCCAGTGGCAAAGCAATGTGCAACAACAAGATACAGTCAATTACTTGAGTTAACTTAACTTCAAATTCCTTTGAGACGACTGCTGTTGTGATTTTTTTCGGGCTATACAAAAATACATGTCATTGAATTGTTTTGGGGACCCCTGGTTTCCGTGCATGTCACCACCAGTTCAGTTCACCCTTGTTCTTATGATTATCTTCATTCAAATAATCTATGCAGAAGTAAGCACTGTGTTAAATAACAGCAGTGTAGCCATAGTACAAGTAGTGAATAACTTTAAAAACAAAACCTTGAATAACATTGATTTGGGTAATAATATGAAGAGGAGCAGCGTGTTCCAGTTTAGCCACAAGATGGAGGTGTAGCTCTTTCTTCATCTCTGGTGTAAGCATCTTGTCAACTTTTAATCTCAAACCTTGCATCTAATCTTTTGTTTTGCATCCAATATTCTTGCTCTTACTCTTTTCTTTATGGCAGTGTTTTGAGGAAAGCCTTACACATATATACAAAACCAGGAAACACAAGCACACATTGTATTGCTCAGCTCTTGTGCAGTAAAACGTTGGCTTCTGTTGCTCCACCTCGTTTCTAATGCAGTTCCTGTTCCTTTAAGGGATTTCTCCAAAATTCAACCGTGACGTTTTTCTTATTCCATATTCAGATAAAGTCCATTCGAGGAGCGAGGAATCTAGAGCAACTTAAAGAGACACCTGCTCCTCTCTGTCGGTGAGATTTTAAAAGTTCAAAATATTGCCGTAAGATTAGATTTTCCTTTTGCAAGTTAGTAGCAATAACAAATACAGCGGTGTGTAGCCAATGTCTGCTTGCAGTTTTAATACCGGGAATGGACTTGCTGCGTACAATATATAATTTTTTTCAGAATATACCTTTTGCAATATACTGCTTTTGGTCGAATTAACTTAAACAATTATTACTGAAATAAATGTTTTGTTAGATTTTAGCTATTTCCATTACAAACCAGTACTATTTTTGCAGCAGAGGTGGGATAGGTCATTTCTTCGGGAATATTATAATAATATCTACTGTCTACAGTTATTGCTCAGCTTTTTTAAAACATATTATTTTTAGTCTCGATTCAACTTTATTATTACAAAATTACAAAATGGACATGAGATATTACGGAGGGATGGGTACAGAGGGATGTGAGTCACTATTTGACACTTTGGGCTGAGGGCTTATTGGCTGAAGTTGTTCCAAAGCTGAAATGGAGGATAAATGTTGATAATAATGATGTTCCAAACAGTTTGTGAGAAAAAGAAACTTGACTTTTCTGTGGGACACAAAGCAGTTCTCCTTTATGCAGTTGGAAAAGCAGGTACCCCAGCTTTAGTTTTGATACCTTCTTTTTGATACTACACCTTAGTCTCTTAATTAGGATGCTGTAATGTACGGTGCTTCTAAACGTGTTGTGATGTCGTCTTCATCCTTTGTTCTTTATGTTAAAATGGCTGAAGTCAATGGGTTTGTTTTTTTGTTGTTCAATGTTTGACCACATTTATGATTTGAATACAGTTATCAGTGTTGCCTGAGATAATTTTATACTACTGAACTTAGAAGCATTGCTAACCACTACAAACGTGTATCAATTCACTTAGAAGCCTGGCTAACCACTTCAAATCTGGATTAGTGAATTTAGAAGCCTGACAAACCATTTCAAACTTGTAGACATGGCCAACCAATCCAAACTGTGTCATTCAACTTAGATGTCCGGCTAACCACCAGACTGTATTAATAAACCTAGAAGCATAGCTAAAGACTTCAAACCCAGTTAACTGGGCTAATCCCTTCAAGCCTTTATTCATGAATTTAGAAGCATGGCTATACCTATCAACTGAAATTGGTTTTAATGTACACAGAAGCATGCCTGACATCATCCAACCAAAACTTTTTGACTTAGAAGCATGGCTAACCACCATGTCCATGTATCATTGGACAAACTTGTTTTGTCTATTTTCATGTTGTTTTACCTAATAGCTCTCCCATTGTGAACATGTAAGAAGTAGAAAGTGCAGATACTTGGCTTTAACTTTGACTACTTGATTTTAAATGAGAAATATTCAAGTAACACACACTGCGCACTTGTTATGTTCTGAGTGACGTTCACCTCTGGCTGTGTACTTTAGATTTGTCAGATGTGGCTGTGGATGCACCAGAGTCTGAAATGTGAAACTTTTGGCTCCTATCTTCAGAGCGGCAGGAAGTGCGTGTGCAGTGAGCATCATGTCTTTCTCACTCACTAAATAGAGACAAGGTCGAGCAGTCAACCGTGAACTTCAACTTCTAAAACATATTTACACATATTCTGTTTCTCAGGAACTGCAGTATGTGTGTATTTGTGGTCCTGCCTCTTTTTGTTTGCAGAAATTGAGGTGATGGACACAATGGTGAGTTGTGTGTCCAAAAGCGAATTGGTTAAATCAAGGAAACCACAAACTTTTCTTGCTTTAAGGCGGTCATTTTATAGCTTTGTGTAGCTAGTGTACTAGCTAGTGTACCTTATTTGTTTACTTATTTTCACAGTATTTGATCTATGCCTTGTCTGTATGTCAATATTATGGCTATGACTTCATGTATTGTTTTATTTTCTTAACTGGGACCCCTGGATTAGCATCTGCATTGTTGGAAGCTAACGGGGATCTCCAATAAACAATAAAAACAAATGAACAAACCTCATTTTAAAACAAAAAATGTAAACAAAATCCATCCAACTTGCTCTCAAAACAATTGGTTCGATAGTTTTTAAATGTCTTTAGTTCCTGTAAACAAAACAAAAGGTAAACAACAGGTAACACGCCAAAATAAAAAGGCCCCACCCAACCCAACCATACTCATACATTCACTCATTCACATTCACATTCTCACAACTAATCTGTCTAACATATTAACAACAAACTGTTCTTAGTCTAGTCCTCATTATCATTATCATAATACTTTTTAAAGTTTAGCATTTTCCAAAAACGAAATGGGACTAAACCGCACACAATCACAAAATTAAAATATACTGTAATAAAATTAGGAACAGAAACCATAAAATAAAATGCCACAAAAAAATACATACATGGACTTTTGGGCTTTCTGGATGAGATTTTTGAGACAGATACGTGTAAACTAGAAGATCTCACTCGGATCAGAGAGTGACTCAAGGCTCTTTCAAGTCTGTGTTTTAAATATTATGAAGACTATGACTTATTTGTTCACAAGAAATAGTATATATTCACAAAACTGTTTCTCCTGGGACAAAGAACATGTAATATATATCACGAATATAGCTTATCTATATCTGTTTTATATGTTTTGTATTTGTAGACTTCTCCACAATGAACGCAGACAAGCATGACGTCAATCACCAAGAGGAAGATGAAATGGGTAAGTCAATAGAGAAACATCCAACACATTAAAAAGTTATTTATCGACAATAGAAAAACTCACCAATTTAATCACTTTGTAGAAACTTTCCATGAGGGCGAGGCCATGAAGCTGCAGGATGAAGAGGAGAAAGTACAGTCCAGTGGTGAGAATCTACATCAAACACATGTGCTTCTGCGTCTGTGGTAAAAATGTATACGAATTTACATAAAGATAAAAATGTTCAAATAGAATAAGAATAAATTACATAATCACCGATGACTAATGGGCGATCTCTGTTATTCATAAATTCTTTGATTTCATTGATCATTGGTTTGGCAACAATTATTTTTTTCTTACATCCTTTAAGACAGTGTTTCCCAACCAGGGGTATGCGAGGTTTGTGTGAGCTACTATGGTTTGTTAAACATTGTAAAGCTACTTCTCTCAAGAAAACAACCAGATCAATTATTCTATTCTAAACATTGAACCAAGAACACAAAAAATATGATTAAGTCATGCTGAAGCTTTGACAACTGGAATAATACCTTTAGGCTATTGTTTTGTGTTAAGAAATACTGACACTCATTCAAATTCATTTCATTTGCCATTTGCAGTAAAACCACATTGGAATACATTTGCAAAAGTTCCCAGTGTGCTCCAGACAAGAACAGATAGTGCACACCACATCTCTTGCTGCAGCGCCTTAACTCTGTGCCATCTTGGAAATAGCTTTTATTCTAACCATACGAGCTTTAATGGGTTTAAACATCAGGCCTGATTTTTGCGGGTTGCACGGGTGGCTAAGTGGATAGCACTCTGGCTTCTCCGCAAGAAAGTCCTGGGTTCGAATCCCGGTCGGAATAGGGCCTTTCTGAGTGAAGTTTGCATGTTCTCCCCATGTCTGCGTATAGGTTTCCTCCAGGTGCTCCAGTTTCCCCTACCACTGAAAACATGTACTATGGGACTAGCATGCGATTCCTGTAAGACGACCTCACTCCTATCTCTGTGCAAATACAACGCTTTTTAACTGGTCTGTGAAAGGCGCTATATAAATAAAGATTACTTACTGACTTGGTTCTCAACTGGAAGCGTGTTGGAATCTATCAAGAAAGCCGCAACCCAAAGAAGCAATGATTTTAGTAAATTAAAAGTAGTGTAAAATATTTTACAGGCATACAATAATACTGCACAGTTAAAATTGTGCACTCTCAAATAACTCCAACCGACTCTGGAATCCAGGAAGTAGTTATAAATATCCTCAACATAAGTTGGTATTTGAGTTCAGAAACAAATTTCAAGGAATCTGTCCAGAATCAGAATACAAGCAGCAAAAAACAATACAGATAGAGGGAAGTTGAATTTGCTTGGATGGAAAAAAATTGCCTTTGATTTAAGATTGTATTGGAAAGTAACATAAGGCAAGGCAAGGCAAGATTATTTGTACAATCACACATACACGCAATAGGATTATAATTAATAGTATATTAAAAAGAGTGAGATAAAAAGTTGCAGTTGTATGCAGAATAGAAGCCTGTCTCATATTTTTTGAAAGACTGTTTCAGCTGCATGCATCTGAAACGCTGCCTCCCCATGTTTAGTTTTGACTCTGGGCACCTGCAGGAGACCAGTCCCTGTGCTCCTCAGAGTCCCAGTTGGTTCATTTGACACTAACATGTCACAGATGTACTTTGGTGCGAGGCCTTGGAGAGACTTGTACACAAACAAAGCTGATTTAAAGTCTAGTACAGAGACCTGAGAACTGGACTAATATGATCATACTTCCTGGTTCTAGTCAGGGCTCGATAAGTTAGGCGCAATTCCTAATATTATTCCTTAAATCCAAGGAAAATTTTACACTGTATTAGCGACATATTTTAAAACCGTTGCCCAGGTAACGTTCGCAACCCACAAAAATGGTCCCCCTCAACCCACAAGCTGAGAACCACTGTTTTGAACCAAGCTTAATCTGGACAGGAAAAACTCACACACAATCTCCTTGGCTTTATTTCTGACTGCCATCTCCCGCACGGCTCCACTTCCTCTAGCTTTTCTCTCTCTGTGTGTATGTGTTTGTGGTTCAACTCTGACATGACTGACTCTATATCTGTCACTGTCTCTTGGTCCTGTGCGTGCGAACTTTCCATAGCACCTCTCTGCGCTTCCCTCCACACTCAGAGCAGATCTCGGGCTCATCAGCCACCACCGCTCAGACCACACGTGTCTCTATGGGGACGAGTAAAAAGAACAAAAAAAGCTGCTAAAATGGCTCCACAAACAAGTAGGGGTGTGTGTGTATATATATACTTATATACTTTGATAGTTTGCAGTCGTTCTCATATGCGACTGGACTTTGTATCCTTGCTCACATGGTCCTCAAAATACACATGAAGATTGAATTAAGACAGTATAAGTTTCGCAAATAAATGCTACAGGGGAGTCCAAACCTTTTCAGTTGGGGTTATTTGAAGCTGTCAGACAAAGAGACATACCTCGGTCATTATAACACAGGTGTGAAAAGAACTACCATCTTTGACAAGTTTAGTGGTTACTAAGGTTTCTAAGGCTACTTTTCAACTTTTCAATATGGTGCAATGTGATGCTTTTGTGGTTTTAATGGTAGAACGACCCAGTTTTGCAGTTAACATCACTTGGGCCACTAGCAGGAAGCTTAGAAGATGTTTTTTTCTGATTTAACCCTGTTTTGGACACTCCTGACGTAGACTATTCATCCACAAAATGCATATACTATTTTCACATACAGTGAAGCCAACCATGAAGTTAACCAGGCAATTATACAAAGTATTATTTCCAACAGATTCAGTAAAGGTGAAATTATATACAAGTAAGAACATTTATTCTAAATGTCATATCTAATTTGGGGAAGAAAATGTAAATTTGATCAAAAAAAATCCTTTTTTTGGTCAAGGGGCTGCACCCAGTAGAAAGAGTACCAGCCCCTCACTGATCCTCCTGCAGGTGGTGAGTCCACAGGAAGGATAGCTGCTCTGTCAGTGACGCACAGCCTTGATCTTTCAGTGGGGGCTTCAGGCAAAGTGGGTTAAGTGTCTTGCCCAAGGACTCAACGACAGCAGACATCAGTGGGAGTATGTGGAGAAGGTCTTGTGGTGGGCTCAAACCTACAACCTTCGAGCCCCTCTACCAACTGAGCCACTGTCGCTCCCCAATCTGATTTAACTTAACTTTTTGTATTGTTTGTTTATTGGAACAGGACATTACACCCATAGCGTTTGTCGAATACGGAAGAAGCCGATTTGAACATAAGCTAGCTGGAGCCAATTTCCTTATACGGGTATTTGTTCCGACGGGGTTATCTTTGCGGCGTTATAGGGGAAGACGTGTCGCAAAGGGGGTTGCTAAGGCAAGCTCGCGTTTCCCCCTGCGAATGAAGGCATCTGATTGGTCAGTCGTTATGGCTCATATCCGGATTTACAAAGACCAGATTACAATATAAACTTCAGGATGACAGAGAGCGCTAAACCACAGATTGTAAGTCAATAGGAGCCAGAGCAAAACTTTGTCCATGAGCACTTCCCTATTGAGCTTCATTAAGCTGATGTGTTATCATTATCCATCTATACACAGTCTATAGTTTATTGTCTGCAGTAAAAACACAACTATCTAAATTTGGCATCTCTAACTCAGCAGTGTCTGCAATGGGCGCCTCTTGCCCTGGTTCTAGTGCCACTGTCTTCAAAGGAAATGTCTTGTCTTTATCTTCAGCCCACATCTTTAGAATCTATATGTGACCTTATAGACCGGCCAAAAGTGCAGCTCCATTTAGGCCAGATGTGCTGCCACTGATACCACACACTGACATGTACACGAAATGTACAAAAGTGTATGAGACGTATATGAGCGGCACAGTGCAGTCCTGTGTGCCGTGGTAGTGTTTGAATTTAGAAGTAAATACAAAACCAAAACATGACAATAAAAGGTGCAGGTTAAAGATAATGTATAAGTGAAACATATATTGTAAGTATAGTATCACATGTACTGTAATAAAAAAGTATTTAGTCAGGTATTTGCATTATGCTTGAGTTTATTTAATGTTTAGGCTGTTTAGACAAGCTTATTCACACCATAACTACACCAGCTGTTTTTAACTTTGTATTTTAACTTCAAATATACCTTTATTTGAATTTCTAGACACATTGAGTATCTGGAAAGGTGCCTAAGAAATTAAATGTATTATTATTATCAATGCAAGGGTGTCAAAGTTGTTCCAGGACCTTTTCATGTGTCTGAATTAACAATTGAATAATGATTATGAAAGACTACATGTTAAAGGGGAAGTTGTAAGCATGAAAAGCACTGATCTGTTTTTTGCAAATTAACGATTCAAATAACAAATACAAAATCCACACCATGACATACACATTCCTCACAATCCAAAACTGTTCCTGTAGATACATTTCACAGTGACAATTATTCCCTGCACTTTTTTATATTGTTTGATTCCTGTTCTTTTTACCTTATGTTTTATTTAGGGACATTTGCAAATATATTCCAATGTGGTTTTACTACACACAAAATGAATCTGAATCTGAATTTTTTTCCTTTCTCATTTAGACAAAATCCATAACGAGTCCGACAAGATGGAAGACTCAGACCCTTCCATAAAAACTGAGAACGACGACGAGATTGTCCCAAAGGAGGAGGAGGAGGAGGAGGAGGAGGAGGGTGACGGGGGCAGCGAGGACGGAATGGAGGAGGGATACGATAATCTGAAAACAGAGGAGGAAGAGGAGGAGGAAGATCCCCTAAGCGAACCTCAGGAGCTGTCTCTAGCAAACTACTTAAAACAGTACAACAACATGAGTGTGTCTGACGCACACGCTGCTCCCGGGTCGGAGGAAGGGCCCGGCGCGCCCCCCCAGTGCGTCCCGTCTCAAGCCAAACTGAGCTGTGACGTGTGCGGCCTGTCCTGCGTCAGTATCAACGTGCTGCTGGTGCACAAGAGAAGCCACACCGGTAACACACACACACACACAAACACCTCAAACACACACAGGCAGAGAGTTGCGCAACCCACATGTAGCACAAGCGATGAATACGTTTACACTTGTCTGGAGGAGAGGGTGCTATGTTTTTGACCGTGCAACATTTGGGTATAAGTGTTTGTTTTTATTCAGATCCCATTAGCTATTGTGATTTACTAATTATTATGCTAATGCTAGAGATTGTATTCTTGCTTCTTTATTATGCTATAGCTAGAGATTTTATACTTGCTTCTTTATTATGGTAAATAATATAGTGTTATTGTTCACTTACCTTTTGCTGTGTGCTGCTCGTTCCTACTGTTCTGTAACTGGTTTTGCAACACTGGAATTTGGAACATGGCTTTTTCAGGGTGGCCAAATCCCTTTATCCAAAATACCAAGAAAGTATGAATAAAGTGCAGCTGCTGTTTACTGGTGGTTGTGAAAATGGGGATTGTCGGAGCAATGGTCTATTAAATGCAGGAGAATGGTGGTGATGGAGGGAGAATTCTAGTATCTCTGGGTCTTGTGCACGACCGAGGAAGGGATGGAGCGAGAGGTTTTTCTATCGGAGTCTGCTAAATGTTGATAAATGTCCTTACATTTTCTCCATCATCTACTCCCATGTAGATGGACAATTTAGATTGGGGGTGTCCAAACTTTAGTTAACCAGACATGTGCAGTGACCGACATCATGGATTGTAAAACTGCTTTTACTGGGTTAAGGCCGTTGAATGAATGCTCTCTAAAACTGTATGAACACATTTATTTTTATTCTTTTTTTATGCTGAATTGACCAAACAGAGACCTTAATACCTTTTTCTTTTCATTCATTCATGCAGCACTGTATTATACTTATTATCTTATCTTACTCAGAGGTCTATATTGCATCATACCACAGCTACATTTGCTCCTTATATGGACATTTGTGACACAATCAGTAACAAATGCCAGGATATAGGAGTTGGTGAGTTTTACAACCAGGTACAGGCTACTAGGCTATACCAGGCTACTTTATGTTAGCTGCAGAGGGCCAAATGACATAAAAGATTAAACTTGATCTCACAATGGAGATGTACATGTAACATTTGTCATGAATAGGATCTCGTGACACACCTGTTGTAGATGGACTCAAGCAAAAAGACCCTTGTGCTTTGTGGGTTCATCAACATCATTTTTTGTTCGTAATATTTACCCTATTCACTGCAGACTGCCTCATTTTTCCGCCTTCAGATAAAACGTTTTACTATGTAGTTTTCACATGGGAAGTAACCACATTGTGCTCTCGTGTGGTTTTTACAATGACAACATAGTTTCTAGGTTACTAATAACCATCAGGCCATCTCCAGTTCTGTTTTTTTGAGTAAAATGATAGAACGAGAGATGAATGTGTAAAGGATATTTACATTTGCATGAGCAGAAATCACTCTGAAGTTTGTTTTTTGATCTCGCTTTTTACACCATTTATTCATTTGAAATTGGTACATTACTTGACACATGGCGCATTAACATAAAAAAGAGAGTGAGTAGTTGTGCTATAACATTAAATTCACTTCATGTAGGGCATTGGACCCTTAATACACTGTTATGCATAAAGGGTCAGACGCCTTATGGCTTGTATTTTATAAAATCGATAATAATTTGACTATCTTCACAGGGATAAGCAGGTGACTGTTTTTTTTCTGGAAAACCTGATCCAATAAAAGTTGTCAAGTTTTTATCAAGATGTAACAATGAGACGAGCAAACATTTCTTATTTCATATGTTGCTTTTTTCATTCACATTTATGAACATTGGTCATTCCGCTCCCTATGGACCAATAGCTCCTATGTGTTTGGTATTATTGCGTTTCCTGTATTCAAACTTTGGATTCTCTGATCTTTTGTTGGTGAATCGACAACTTTGTAAAGCCCTCCAAGACGGCTGCTGTTGTAACAAGAGTTTGCATTAGGACATTTTGTTTTAAGACCAACAAAATGTACCAAAAGAAAGATAAACTTAAGTTAACATTTTTCCTATTTGTGTGATGTTTGGCAGTGGGTTAAAGCTGTTGTGTTGTTGAGAAACTCCAGAGAGTGTTGTGCTGATGGAGCAGGTGTTGTGTTGCAGGAGAGAGGCCCTTCCACTGCCCCCAATGCGGAGCCTCGTTCACACAGAAGGGGAACCTGCTGCGACACATCAAGCTGCACTCAGAGGAGAAGCCCTTCAAGTGTCCCATGTGCAGCTACGCCTGCCGCCGCCGGGACGCCCTGAGCGGACACCTGCGCACACACTCCGGTACCTACACACACCACTGCAGCTGCCTGGTACCACACAAACCACCACCACACTTACACACACCTGCCACTTCAGAGAGTCTTGAACTGTGGGACAGAATACAGACAATCCATTGTATATTTCCATACTATATGTCATAAATAACACAGGGATGAATGTCTGTTGTGTATGTGCAGATTCTGAAGTGTTGGTGAAAATAATTAACCTAATATAGAAGTGAAGTGGTCAACCTTGTGTTTTACCTCATGATATTTTTCCTATTGATATACGATGAATGTTTTTTCCAATTTCTTGAACCTGAAAACCGTTTATTAGGTCGCTGTTTGAATATAAAATAATAATACCCAACAGCCTGTTTTCAGATAAAAGCTTCCTCAGACAAGGCGCAGTGTCTGGTGTCGATGAACCCTATTGAAGCAAAGGGTTTTTTCAGAAATGTCATATGAACCAAGCAAACATTGTAAAACTTGAAACTATAGAGACAGAGGTATAGTTAGAGAACAACCAAACTCCAAAGAAAGATGAATTGAATATTTTATTTCTGACAAAGGCGGAAGTCTCTTTGTCTAGAACCTTACAAGCCTTAAACATAAAAAATACATAAAGAACTGCATGCACTAAATAAAAACTTGTTTGTAAAATGTATGTGCCTGGTTGTATGGATTCAGGAGATTTTGCAGTAGTTCTGCTTCTTTGGAGATGAAAGAGTTAAGACCTGATTTTAAACAAGGTTAGTCCCATGGGGTTAGTCCTTTCTACATCCATTCTAACCCCTTGTTTTGACTTTTATAAAGATTGTGTAGGTACATTATCAAAGTAAAACTATAGATGAGTGGACATAGATAGACGTTACAGTATTTAAAGCTGTTCTGAAAGTCTGCTGATTACGACATCACTCTTATTGGAAAGTGCTACATTTTGGTTTTGGTTTTTGTTCTTTGAACTCGTTTTAGCATGTGTGTTGTCCTTTTTCATTTAAGTAACACGCCGTCATGGTGCTAAATGCTCTTCTACATCTGGGAAACGTACTCATCAAGTTTCAGTCTTTTTGTGTGTAGTTTTTGTGTGTAACTTTGTGGAATGACTTTGACAGTGGAGAAACCGTTTAAGTGCAACCACTGCAGCCGGAGCTACAAGCAGAGGAGCTCCCTGGAGGAGCATCGAGACAGATGCCACTTGTACATCCAGAACAAAGGCCACAGAGAGAGAGGTACAGTTATTTCTCAATCAATCAAGCAAGATGTCTATTACAATCCCTTTTGAAAAGGGATGGAGCAAACCTAAGCTTAAAAACTTCAAAAGCCCTTTAATACATTTCTGATTGTCATATAATCATATACATTTCCTTTTGTTTAAGGATTTATTTATTTATTTATCAAATCCTGGAATGTTATTACCACATTCCCAGATAGTGGTGATAATATTTTAATCTAAGGAATCAGACCCTGGAAAGCTCAGTCATGTGATCTGAGGTTGCAACAGGCACAGCCAATCTGAATTCAGCCAAATTACCTGAATTCAAACTATTATCATTATTTCACTGTATTTGTTTACTGCAGCGCACGGCAAAAAAAAGGACAATTCAACCAACTGTGAATCTGTTATCTGTGAAATTGCACAAATTGAATGTCTGTATTTGCATGCGTTTGTACATGTGTGTGTATGTGTGTGTACGTGTGCGTGTGTTCGTGCATGCGTTTTTCCTTCACTTGAGCCACACCAGAGCCTTTCCCCATTTACTCAGATCTTTCATGAATCGACACACTTCGCCTATTTCTTTGGTGATTCCTGTAGAAAAAGCAAACACTCATTAGTGTCTGTGGCTGAAAATGAATCTGGTGGAAGGAGCCTCGGCAGAACACAAACCTTCTTCATCTACTTTTATTGCCTCATTATCCAAACGAGCTCTTCGCCGTTACCCCATCATTAGGCCTAAACCAATTGTAGCGTCTGTGGTGATGAGGAAGACCAGTAAAGAGGAAGCTTACCTCTGCATGTAGGGCAAGCACACACACATCTCTAACCGCCCACCGGCTTCTTACCAATCATCAGGGCAATAGTTACGAAATCCAGACAAAGTTATATTCTTGTGGTCGCCTGGTGTCGCAGGTTATACCTCACTCAGCCGCTGTGGTGAGGAAGTACATCCTCAGCCTGTGGTCGTCTCTCCTGGTTTAGTGAAGTCAAAAAGCAGCAGGAAGTGAGGTCAAATTAGCGCTGTGCATAAAATTATTAATAACTGCTTCCTCACTGTCACAAAGACGAGCCCCACCGTGATGTGTGTGTGTGTTTTTGGTTCTCAACAGCTGTGAAATTGCGCAGCTGCTGCCCTCTTAGATCAAATTTGTGATTTATATGTTTAACAGAAGACAGTCCCGGATCAAAGAATCAGATGGGCTCAGAGCGTGCACTGTTGTTGGACCGGCTAGCCAGCAATGTGGCAAAACGGAAAAGTTCAATGCCACAGAAGTTTATAGGTAAGACTTGCTTTTTTTTTGCTTGCTTTTAATGCTTTTCTGAAAGAGCATATACACACGTGTTTGTCTTAACCCATTAATGGTTTGCTCAACAATTTGGTGGAGCACTACATCACTACATCTACCTAAATACCAACTTAAATCGACCTCATTGGAGCATCTCTATCGTTTGGTTTTAGGCACTTTTACCATCAAACTGCATCTCAACCATTTAGTAAAGGCCTATAATAAAACAACGTAAAAATTGGGGTTAGAAAACAAATTGTTTTTGTTATTAGTGCTCCTACATCTTAAGGGGGGAAAACATTACATTGCTTTCTTCAATGAGTGAATATTAAAGGGTTAATACCGTGTGCTGAACTGTAATGCTTCCCTTCAAACTGCAGTGTTATAAATAAGTTTGTAATTTGTCTGAGCTGAGCTTTTTTGTTATCTCTTCTGCCATCTGCCACTTGTGAAACAGGATTTTAGGGTAGGCACCTGCACCTCTGTGGTCTGCTCAAGGCCTAAATGTGTGTCACAGGTGTGTATATGGCATGTTTTAAACTGGACACTACTTATTTGTATTGTTCACAGCATGCTCTCCCTCATGTATAACTTTATTGATGCATGTGTTTGAGTATTGGGCACATTTTCTCCAAAGGTCTTGACACCTCTTGATTTTTAGTTTCACAGTCAAGCTCACACTCTAACGGTTGCATCACGTTCACCCATGTGCGTTGTTTCGGTATGACAACTATACAAGTCACAAGTTATGTCTGCGAATACATTGAGAGCAAGCACATAAACGTGAGCAGGTGTCTGTGTTGCTGCACTGCAAAAACTGATGAAAAATAAGTACATAAATGGTCAAATTTTGGAAAAAATATTATAATTTCAGCCTCTTTTGACTGCCTTAAAACAAGATTTGCCAATGGGACAAGCAAAATTATCTTAAAATTTATAAGGATACAAGAAATGTCTCTTTTGAATTGAGAAATTAAAGTAAAAATTCTTGAAATAAGACTGAATGACTTTGCCCATCCATCGATCCATAATCCATTTCTGGGTTGGGGGGGTGGCTAGCGATGCCACCCAGTACACATAGCACCAGCCCCTGCAGGTGGTGAGTCCACAGGAGGATGGCTGCTCTATGACATAGCCTTGGTCTCAGGCCCCCGCTCGGTTAAGTGTCTTGCCCAAGGACACAACAACAACAGACATCAGTGGGAGTCGGTGGAGAAGGTCTTGTGGCGGGCTCAAACCCACGACCTTCAGGCTTAAAGGCCAATGTTCTACCAACTGAGCCACTGTCGCCCCCTGAATAACTTTTTCTCATTGGCAAATTATGTTCAGAATGTACTCAAACCACTTGATTCAAGCATTGGTTACCTTATTACCTGTTGCAGTGTGCTGCAGACTCTCCCACATATCACCTCTTTCTTTTATCTGTTCAAATCCCAGCTCTCTCTGCTCACCTCTGCATTGTCTCCCATTTCAAAGCAACTTCTTTTGCTCCTATTCTGCATGCTTCCATTTTGTGTGCCAGAGATATGTCATACTTCCCTCAGCCTCAGAGAATGACTATTGTCTCACGTTTCGGTTCGTCTGTAGGCGACACTGGAGTCTGCCTGGACCTGAGTTTTAACAGGGACGCAGTTCATTCAAACATCAAAGACCCTCCTCCAGTGTCTCCAGACGCACCCCAGACCCCAGCTCCGGAGGGGGACCCAGCCTTCTCACACCAATCCTACCCCATTGGTCTAACTCGGAACGACCACAGTCCAATGGGGATGACAAACGGCCACAGCATGGGCCCGCCTCGGCTCCCCCCTTCCTCCCAGCCCTCTGTTGGGATGGACTCTTTTAACGGGGAAATCCCAAACGGTCTCTCCTTCATGGGACCCCTGATGCGGGGGGTCATGCATTACCAGCAGGCCCAGCCGGTGCCCTTGTCTCCCCTGGATGCCCTGCGCTCCATGGAGGCCGATGCGGGGTCGGTGTTCCCCTGTGGTCACTGCAAGCTCATCTTCCTGGACTACGTCATGTACACCATCCACATGGGCTGCCACGGCTTTCGAGACCCCTTCGAGTGCAACGTGTGTGGGCACCGCAGCCGGGACCGCTACGAGTTCACGTCCCACATCGCCCGCGGAGAACACGGCCTCAAGTTTAACAACGTGAAGTATTCTTGAAGGACACGAGATGTAGACAGACTTTTTCATAACAAGGAGAAGAAATATTAAGGATTATTTTTGTGCATTGGACATTACAATACTTTACTTTGCCATTTCATGCTTTAGAATGTGAAACAATATCTTACATGTAGAAAACATATGATGAAACAAGTTTGCAGAGTAAAAGATCCTATAATTGTTGTGTACAGTGGGGAAATTTCAGTGTTGCATCACAAATTTCAAAACAGTATAAAGGTATATATTGTGACATTTGTTTCACAAGTATTGTTTTAGGGCCCCTTCAATAAGCTAAACCTTTTACAAAACACTTACAATTCATAAAAATTAGTAAAGAAATTGAGTGTTTTTATGGATTTATGGAGATTATTAATTTGAATTTCTGTAATTTGAGGAGCACACAACAAACATGAATATCAACGTATAGCACAAAAATAATCTCTATCTTTAGCGTCATAAAATGATTTCCACCGGTAACTCCCTGAGCTACCACCAGAGGGAGAAGTTAAATGGGCTCAACTTTTAAAAGATTTAAAATTGCTCTGAGTGTGATGTCACAGTGGTGCAATGACATCATACTATTACAGGACTGAGACAGGAGCTTTTAGACAGATGGGGCGGAGTTACATGTTTGTGCCAGTAGTTCCTGATGTTAGCGTGGATGGATTAAAAACAACTACGGGTTGTTTTTTTTATTTTTATGAATAAACAATATAGTTAATAAAAAGGTTGATTTTGTATAATATTTCTCCTTTAAGTCGCTTTGAGATTGAGTGAGTTACGGAAACGCCTTTTGGTTTCCACAAGAGAAGAATATCACTTTGTTTATTTATGTCTGGTGCACACCGGAGACTTTTGCAAATGTATTCAAATGGCAAATACAATGAATCTGAATCTAAAATGTGAAAAGACAATATGATACATAATATTCTGTGTATATGCGTTCTGGTATGTTGTTTTTGGGATAATAAACATTGTTATATTCTGTGCTTTATAATGCTTCAGTGAACCTCTCTAAAAAAAAAAAAATGGCAGATTGCAGATCCTTTACAATCACACAAGTCTCTTGTGGTTTCAGAAGAGTGCAGATCCAGACTTCAAACACCGCTCTGCAGCTCGAGCTTCTCACTCCTGATAGTATGTGATATGATTGCACAAGTCTCTCTATGTATTTATCCTAGTTTTTTTTTTCACCCTTACTTCCTTTACCAGCATCTGTATTGTGAGAGCAGGCAAATGTTTGTGTAGTGCTTATGGTAAATAATAGAATTTCGAAGCATTCAATTCAATTCAATGTATTCTTGTATAGCCTTAAATCACAACAGTAAATACAAACAGTTCAAACACAAGAAATGCAATGATGAAAAAAGCCATGGGTCCGTAAGAGGCTGATGACCAATGTCCATAAATGTGCATGTAAAAATAATAATAATACATTTTATTTAAAAGCGCCTTTCAAAACACCCCAAGGACACTGTACCGGACATAATAGAAACATTAAAAACAGGATCAACAGAATAAAACAGTAGTGCAATATGGAATGGTGGGTGCGTGTGTGTTTGGTGGGGTAAGGCTAATGTAGCAGAATCACCCATTTGTTTTCTAAAATCTAAAGAGTGGTCATATAACAGGAGCATTAATCTCATTCTGATTTTAAAGTTGGTGTGCCGAGGTTTTCTGTTTCATAAATAATACATACTTGTCCTGAAAGAAAAAAAGTAGAAGGCTATGGACAAATCAGACCTGAGGACCTACAATATGTCAGTCTATATCTTATTCAAAAACATAGTAACCTTTGCATACTTGTGCCCAGTGAGTCACTATTTGACGCTTTGGGATGGGATGGGTGCTGATTGGCAGAGTGAGAGTGCTCCAGTCTTTTTCAATTGTATGCCTGAAAAAAGTTGATTTTAATTTGTGACAAAGGCCAAGAATTCATGCAAAAACTAGTGATTTTATTGATTTTTTTTATTTTTATTTGATAGGGACAAGTGTACACAATCAACATGTGAACCACCAACATAAAATTCAAGAATGTATTGGCCATTTGCAGTAAAACTACATTGGAAAAACCGTGCAAGACTATTCCAGTGTGCACCAGATAGTACACACCGGAGTTCCTGCCACGGTGTCATGCGCAGCCTTTAGAGCCAAGGCTAATTTGCAATGTCTGTTCCTAGAAGGGCTTTTAACACATTTTAACAAATAAAAACACATTTTTACATACACACACACTATACAAAGGCATCCATGCTCACACAACTGGTTTATTTTAAAAAATTGTTTCAGTTTGTGTTTCTGATATATAACCAAACTGTTTTCAGAGCTAGGTATGCGTTAGATGGATTGTATTGCCGTAAATGTTTTGATCATTGTGATTTGAAAGTTCATTCACCCCGGGTTTAAATGAGTTGAGTAATATTGTCGAGGCTACACACAGTCATTTCTTTACTTTCCACAAAATAACCACTATTTGTACTTTGTCTGGCACTTGCTTTTTTCGAGGGGGTGAGACACATAGTGGGCTCTGTCTCACTTTGCCGCTGTGTGATCATTGCAGCGTGATGCTTTCTCTTCATCCAGCCAGTGAAGCGCGCACTATCTCTCCTCTCCATCGGCACCAGTTCCCTTTTTCTTTTTGAGGCCCTACAGAAGTGACGCTTGTGAAGCAAACTGTTATCACCACGTCATGTCCATATGTCAGATGAAAAGACCCAGTCATCCATTTCAAGTACAACTGCCGCTTATCTTTTTCCAAATACACAGAATCGCTAAGCTGGGTGGCTCGTGGCTTATACTTTTAGTCTATGTCGGCAACAGGTGTCAGTAGAAGATGAAAATATGCTTAAGTTTGCAAATTGCATTTACGAAAACATGACGTAATTAATGTATCCGTTTCATAAATACAAAAAAGCTTAAATAAGTAAACATTTGAACTTATGATTACAACTAAAACTCACATATAATCATAATAATACATCAAACTTATACTGCGCTTCTTTGGACACTCAAAGACACTTCAAAAAATACATCAAAATAAACATGGAAGAACAAAATAAAGGAAAGGCAAGCTGAAACAGGTAGGTTTTGATATATTAAACAAGAATAAAACCATGCAAAGACCAAACCTGGAGACATGAAGCACCAGAGTTCAAGATAAGATAAGATTTTCCTTTATTTGTCCCACAGTGGAGAAATGTCAGTGTCATTGTTGTGCACATTACAGCAGAGAAAGAAGGAGATAAACGCACTCAGATTGCACACATCAAATTGAGTCTATTATTTAAGATAATCGACAATATAATTAAAATAAGATAAAGAATAAAATCAAATCAAATAAACTCTGGAGTTTTATAATTGCACTTGGTTCAGGAGTATTTACAGATGTGTATATTGTTCTTAAGCAGTGGGGATATGAGCAGAGTAAACATCAGTAATAATATCAACAGGTTAAAGTGACTAGTGAATAGCAGAAGTATCAGATGGATTGATAATGCAGTAATAATGCAGTAAAAATAACAGCAGGTAAAGTGACTGGTGACAAAGTTACTAGTGAATTATTATCAATGACACTTGTACAGACTCAGCAGTTCTTGTTATACATTCTCGTTGTACAGCCTGACAGCAGCAGGGAGGAAGGACCTATGAGGGAAATATTGACATTGTTTTTCTATGCATATACATTAATTTACAGATGGCAACACTTTTCTTTCTTTTTTTTATTTGCTCCATTTTATTATGGTAAGGCAACAAAATACCACAACAATCCAGAAAGTACAACAGTAATACATTCCATGAAATAAAAGGAACAGGAGTGGGATGAAGTCTTGTCAACTCCTACCCCTACTTGTTCTGCTGTTCCATATCAGCTTAATACCTTATTTACCTATTCCTTGATACCACCCACTGACAGGGACTGAAATAAACTCTAAATGTCCTCATGTGTAACTGCAGTCACAGTTCCACTACACAAAACCACAAACGAGAGTTTACTCATCCCCTTCAGAATAGAGTCATAAAGCTCCCGCTGTGACCAACACTGAGTTTATATGTGGTGCAGTGACATCTGCTGACGGACCACTTTCCATTTACTGTTAAAACTGAAACACATGACAAATCATCAAGTTGATTTTAACAACTCCTACTGTTAAAAACTTTGATACTAATTCTGCTATATATTAAAATGGTCTAGTTTCCAGGTCGCTGCACTGGCTTCTTGTGGCTCAGAGAATAGACTTTAAAGCTTCTTGTGTTCAAGTCTCTCAATGGCCTCGCACCAAAGTACATTAGTGACATGTTAGAACTATATAAACCAACTCGGACTCTGAGGAGCACAGGGACTGACCATTCAACCATTCATGGACATTGGTCTCTCCCTATGGACCAATACATATGAATATCTGAGTCACGCCTCGACAGTGACAAGGTTTAAATCCAGGTTAAAAACAGTTATCTGTAAATTGAGGTATTTTGCCTTCACTCTTTTTAATGTACTGTGATCATTTATGAATTTATTTCCTTGTTTGATTGTTTCTATCTTGTTTTGTTCTGCCTTGTGTGTGAACTGTGCTGCAGTAATAAACATGCCCTGCCCCGCCATTATTATAAACTGACCGTTCTCAAAGTTTAACCCTTTAACATTAGTACACTGTTGATAGATCTATATTCAACTGTATGACGTCATATTGCTTAAGATTGCAATTTTCACAACAACATGTTACCACCACGAACAATCACATTTAAATATATATTTGTAAGCCTGTATTTGTCTTCAGAGAGACAATTGAAGGTCATGTTCTAAACGCGCTGGATGTGTTTCACTTTCAGACACTGGCTGGTGAAACACTGTGTAATAATCCCCTGCTATTCTCTATCAAACCTGTAGGTGGCGCTTTAGTCATGAGATTGACGCACAGCAGCCAGCGGTTTTACGACCAATCCAAATGTTTTATGACTTAATTGGGCTGTAATAATGACAGGCGGGCTGTGTACTCATACATACAGATGCGTGCCCTCTTATAGCTCCGCGTCCTGTCCAGTCTGTATAAGATAGAAGCAGTTTTACGCAGAAAGAACTTGCCATTTCTTTAATGTGACTTTTATTCCGAACCAATGAAGCACGTATGAGCATGCGCACTGCATCGGCTCTATGGGGACGGGGAGGACATCACGGAAAAACGTAGCAGCAGCGCCACAAGCCTCACGCCGAGATTTGGGCTCAGAGAGGCGGCTCCAAGTGCGCACTTCCTCGGACAGCGACATGTCCGCTGGGCCGTCACCGCGTCGGACGAACACTGGGACGGCCTAGTCCCGCTCCGAGCCGCTGCGGGAGGAAACGACACTTCTTCTTATGGGAACAGCATGCGGGAAATGGTTGGAGGCTGCTGTGTGTGTTCAGACGAGAGAGGCTGGGCTGAGAACCCTCTGGTCTACTGTGATGGACACGGCTGCAGCGTCGCGGTTCACCAAGGTAACCTGATCAAAGTACCGCCGCTCGTGCCTGCGTCTGTGTCCGGGTGTGTGTGTGTGTGTGCGTATGTTTATGTATGTGTTGTGCGTGCGTGTGTGTATGTGTGTGAGGCACAGCGGGGATCCAAGTACAAAATCTACGTACGTTTGTGTGTGTGTGTGTGTGTGTGTGCCTATGTGAGCGTGTGCTTGTGTCTGTGTGTGTATTTTTGTTTGTGTGTGTGTGTGTGCCTATGTGTATTTTCGTTTGTGTGTGTGCCTACGTGCGCGCGTGTGCCTACGTGCGTGTGTGTGTGTTTGACCGTCTCTGTTTGGGCCTCTGGACACTTTCCATGCCCACATGCTTTGTTGTCTTACTCCATCTAAAATAAGGGCATGCAATAATAAACACATCGCTTTTGGGAAAAGACTTATGATTTATTTGTATGTTTTTTTTTTTTTTTTTTTTGACCAATCAATGCCTTCTCTCGTCATAAATGTAATACAAATATTTATGAAGCTATAACAACAGAACAACCAACAAACACGTATAATATGTAAAGTTTAGCTTTTTCACATCTTCTTTAAGAGAAACAACACAGATTCTGAGGAGCACAGGGACAGAGTCGGCTAAACTTGGGGAGGCCACATTTTACATGTTTGCAGCTAGAATCTGGAAAAGTCTTCCTGAAAATGTGAGACAGGCTTGTTCATTTCTGTTTAGCTGTGCGTACAACTGAAGGAACTGTGATTATTTATGATTTGAATGCCTTGTGTGATTGTATCTTATTTTATGAAGCAGTTTGAGTTGCCTTAAATCCCAGAGGATGTAAATTCACTACAACACCTGTCATTGTAACATCAGTGTAATTACTAATGTGAACGTGTGTGAAAGTTTGCCCATGTATTATGATAATATAACATTTTATTGATCTCACAATGGGGAAATTTCCAACCTCCTATGATAAAATGACTCTGTTCCAGCGTGCTACGGAATCGTGCAGGTGCCCACTGGCCCCTGGTTCTGTCGGAAGTGTGAGTCACAGGAGCGGGCGGCGCGTGTGGTGAGTGTTCTGCCAAACTCCACATGACACTGTCTCCACCCGGCTCTGCTCCTCCGGTGTTTGCATGCATTGCACCTGCTGACTCCTGTCCTGTTTTCAGAGGTGTGATCTCTGCCCCCACAAAGATGGTGCCCTCAAGAGGACGGACAGTGGGGGTAAGTGTATTTATAATAATGCATTCATAGTTATTAAGTATGTTCATGGGGTGAGAGTCTACAAATTTGAACTTTAGTCCCACTCTGTTTTGAGCTGATAGAAATGAATTTGTAAATACATATTGAAATCATACATATAACAACACATGGTGAAACTACGGTAAATCCTGTTGCTTGATTGTATATTCATGTACTGTATATATATTTGCATGTGTAAGTATATACTGTACAAAAGTGGGTATATGAGAGGGAGGAAATAGTGATATGGATTTGACTACATAGTGATTTAAAGTTGGGTACCCCAGCTTTTAACTGTGTGCAGTTCATGTATGTCCCAAGTAGGGCTGCACAAAATATCAAAAAAATATATTGTTATCGTGATATTGTTACATGCGTAAAGACACCAAAACAGACAGACACATCAGCATTCAACAAGAACAACAAACAAACAAAAATGTGTATATATACATTTGCATTTGAATGTCATTCCTGCTGTGCTTATTTTTTGTTATTTGTCTCTTGCGTTTCAATGCAATTTTGGGTGATAGACAAAAATGTTGCAATAATATCGTTATCGCAATACTAAACACTCATATCGAATATCGCTCTAATTTCCAATATCGTGCAGCCCAAATCCCAAGTCATTTTACAATATTGAGCACTTTTCATTCATCTCCAATGGCCGATAATGGTAAAAATGCACCTGCCATATTGCTCTATTCTCCAAACGTTGGAATCATTCATTCACAAATTGTACATATTTGATAGTTTTCCTTTTTAAAATGTTTTATTTACACTAAAATATATTGACAGTTATTGACTGTAAGTACAATCTGTGTGTATTTTTTGCTATCCCTGCCCCATTCACCCATTCCTCCCACCTTCCCCATTTCGTCTACAGCCTGAAACCTGAATACTATGTTATGTTTAGCTGAAGATAAAGGGTGAATAAATAAGTAAATTATATAAAGAAATTAAAAGAAAGAAAGAATATTTAATGTACCCTTGATGTTGGGGTTATTTTGTAATCTGTAGCACTTTGAAGTTTCCACGAAATTTTAGGTGCAATATAAATCAAATGTATTATTGTTATTATTATTATACATTTTTTAGCTGATAGTTTCTGTCAATATCATCTGTCCTCAAACTTTTGCCTTTGTGGGGGGGATTCTTTAACCTGTTTTTCCTTTGGGCTAAAGCTGTTTGTGTCCCCGTCAGGCTGGGCTCATGTGGTGTGTGCCCTGTACATCCCCGAGGTGCAGTTCGCCAACGTCCTCACCATGGAGCCCATCATCCTGCAGTACGTCCCACACGAACGATACATCAAGGTAATAAATACTTTCATGTGTTTTATCATCACAGATCTGAGGATGGTCTGGGGTTTGATCCGTCTAGGACTGTGCAAGAATACAACTTGAAGCAATATTCGGTCTTTTCATTAGTTGCTTGGGAGTGTTAAGATCTTGGGAGGAGTAAGAATGTTATGCTAATAGTAACTCAATAAAACATTCTTTCCATTATTGTTAGTGGTTAAGTGAAGCCTCAAAACATAGTTAGTTAATTATTTATTTCAAAACCTGCACAATACAAGGTACAAATATCAATTATCAAATGAAAAACATGCCACAAGTTTTGAAAAGGGGGTTGGGTGAAGCAGACACTTATACATTTCCAACCCCCTCTCACACATACAGAGAAACAACAAATACAAATTACACCAACACTGTATAGTTACATCATTACCTCAAATGAATTAAACACGACACACAAAGACAAGACGCTCACTCGTTCTCTCACTCACACAGACATAGTCAAATTTGCGTGCTATGAAAATCTCTTATGGCTGTTGACTTAAGGAGATCTCAGGGAAGACCCAGGATTATTTTGAGTTCTCCCTAAAAACTTTGATTGTAGCTAATAAGTTCCTCTGGTCATCCATGAGTGTGAATAAAATCCTAAATATGTATTTGTGACTATGACCTCATAAACCTTCATAGACCTTATCAAACAGAAATGCGGCAAAATGTTAGCATTCCTAAATAGATTGTTGTTGACAGATGAAAATGACTATTCCATTGTTATTTATTGTCAGACAGGGCTATAAAAAGAAATTTGGAGAGACCACATAATAAAACACAAATAATGATTTAAACAGTCTATAACAAAACAACAAAATACCCACATCTTCAGAATAGTATTTCAATAACCCATGATGCAATGCTGTTTTTGAAAATACCTCAGTCGTGTTTCATCTCTCCTCCTACACATCCCCTATACCTGCCGTGTGGCGAGTGAGGGTTCGCCCGCTCAGAGGAGAGAGTCTGGGAAAGCACCTCGACACAGACGAAAGATCAAGAACTGGTTTTCATATTTATGTTTATTTATATATAGAGGGCATAAAGAAAGAACTTCAGACTCTATTTTTCATCAAAACAACAACATGCACATATAGCAGAATGATAATAAACAGTTAAATACATGTGCAGTAGATTCCTCACTAACCACAGAGGAACAGTAACTTTAGAATTATGTATTTATGTATGTTTCTATGGATGATTTTTGCTGCTGGACCCTTGAATTTATCCTACAGGATTAATAAATTATCTATAGTATCTATCTATTTATCTATTCCTCAGTTATGTTTATAAAGTTTCAATACCAAGTGTGACTTATGGCAGTCAAAGAGATGGAAGTCCCCTTACCCGCTGTCTCACCACCAACTCAAAAACCTTCTTTCCATGTTCAGTGCTGGTGCATACACTTTTTTCCTGTTATGTAGTAGAATGAAAGAATGAAATGAAGTCCACAGATCCGGATCAGATTGTTTGTTGGGCCTGTATTGCCGTCGATCGCTAAATGCCATCAGCTGTTAGTCACAGGAAAACTACGGCTCGAGGGCCACATTCGGTCCATTTCACATTACTATCAGGCCCGCTGATAATGAATGGTAATAGGATGTTTATAAAACCCATTTTCTCCATCTCGGAAACACGGCCCTCACATTTTTTGATATGTTGATGGCCGCTACGTCACATACACTTGTCGTATTCATTCCTGTTCATGTCAATTATTAAAACAGAAGGAAAAAAAACACCCAATGGTAATGAAAAAATCAACAGAAGGCATCAAAATATCTCCACAGACAGGCTGAGGAAATCCTTTGTGCCTAGCCAAGTTATTCGATGCACTTTTTAACGTTTTAAAATGTTTATTTACTGTTATTATATTTGAGCAACTTATTTATTATGTACCTGTGACTGTGTGAATGAGAGCGACCGGCACCATTGTAATTTCCTTCGGGATCAATAAAGTTTGTCCTATCCTAATACTATGTGTAAAATGATAAATTAGTGGGTCAGGCCCTCCCCAACATGGTGATATCCCGTTGTGGCTCCCAGGTTTAAGTAATTGCCCATCTCTGCCCTAAGTCTCAACAGAAAACACAAAGAAACATGAAGATGATGTGAAAAAGAGGTGGCGGAGATGAAGCTGGATCTCTTTTGGTTTAGTCCATAGTTTGTCTGGTTCTATTAAGATCCAGAGTTAGTTGCAATTCAGAATAAATCTCCTGTTGACGATTCCAGCTTGACAGATTAATTATATAGAACAAGTCAAGTGCAGCTGAAAAAAGAGCAAAAAGAGAAGAGTTTTTTGGGCCAAGCGTGATGTTTGGCGGCTGCTCTCAGAAATGATGGGACCTCACACAGAGCTGCAGCGAGAGGCTTTTGTGATACATCGACTTAAATATGTGTCCTGTAGAGACCCGCGCGCTCAATGGAAAGGCCTGAACTATGTGGGTTTGTCCACGCTAGAAATGCATTTCACTGTGGGATTCCCAAAGGAGCCGTGGAGTTAGAATTTAGAGAGTGTGTTTGTACGCGTATAAAAAGACATAGTTACCATTGATAAAATAAACGAAGCTATTTGTGAAAGTGAAAGATGAGCATGTTGTTGAATGGTAGATTTTCTGTTCAGACTTTTAGTGGGATCATATCTTTAGCTAGCCTGGTCTTTCCATACCATTGTACTAATTTAATGTTGTACTAAGGTCTGGATTTGCCCAATTGAGCTCCGTCTACAGGTGGAAGGGTTTAAGTCCTTTTGCAGATTGAAACGATAGGATCTGAGTTTGCCGTGACGTAGTAATGCACCCAAGTGAGTGAGGCATTAGCATTTAGCAATTAGCCTAGCTTTAGCCATCTCCTTTGTCACTAACAGAGCCTGTGGGGAGTAGAGCCACAACATATTTGCCAGCAATGAAATTTGCTAAACTTTCCTCTTGCCCCTACTTCAATTTCTTGATATTTTACTATAGCATTCGCCGCCATTGCCAAACTACAACCAGCAAATTTAGCGCAAACTATTGACATCACTTACTGCACCCGCCTCCCACGCTCGCTGAATGGTCGGATGGGATACAACCAAGGAAACCGCAGCCACCAGGATCAGACCCAGACTTACATGAAGGGAAATAATAATTGACCAGAGTTTACAGATGCTAAGGCCAGGCGAGTCAAAAGGGAAATGAAAAAAGGAACCCAAAATGCAGGACTGATATAAAGTGTAATTTAATAACATAAATCCAAGGTAACGACAAAACCCAGGAACAAACATGGTAGAGACAATAGACAACACCAAGTACGGAAAAGAACAGGGTATAAATACATACAGGTGTAAAACGTCAGGGCGAGGCTTACAATCAACAGGACGGAAATTAAGAAAAACTGAAACCACAAGAGAAGAACAATATCGCAAAATAAATACCAGGTCAAAATAATCAAAAAATCCACACCATGACAGACAAACCATTCAGCAAGAGATGCATATAAATTATTGCTTACCATAATCTTAATTCTAAAATAATTAAACAGACAATATGCACCGTAAACATAGATTTCATATTTGTCTGACATCGTTCACAAAAAGTTGGCTTTTTGGCTTCTTTTGTGTATTTTTTTCAGCTAGGGTTACTCAAAGTTAGAGATTGGGGTGTTTTTTAAGCAGCTGTCATAGAGATGAATGGTTGGAAATGTGAATCCCACTTTCTTTATTCTCCAAGGAACTTCAGATACCTTTGCCGATATCAATTGGCAGCCTCAGATCTGTCGCTGTGAGCCAGGGCAGCTCTGGCTACAGAAGTTGCTCATTGTCAATTCAATCAAAAGCAGATGTACAGATAGTTTTTACATTGTCAGTGGCTGTGTGAAACCATATATCTCAGGGGTCTCCAACCTTTTTCAATTGAAGAGCTACTTGTATACAAAAGAAGAGGCAGAGAGCTTCTACTTTTTGCATTAGTACTAGAAATCTATCTAATAATTTCAAATGATAATGGAGGACACCATAATACAGTATAACCTTATATTTATACTTATATTAGATATGTAATTGCTCAAAACAATTTCATTCATGATCATTTATTAAATTCTAAATCCTTTGGTGAGCTACCTGAAAGGGGCTGGAGAGCTACTGATAGCTCCCGAGCCACAGGTTGGAGACCCCTGATACTGTATATCTATTTTCAAATTATAACATCATTAAGCCAAGTTGTAGAGATCTTAAATGTTCAGTTCACACAAGGCAGCCCAGGAATTTACAGTAACTTCTGCCACGTTATACTTATGCCACTTAATAATATCAAACCTCTAGAAAATAATCTTCAGTGTTAAATGTCTATTGTGTGTGTTTATATATTAGAATTGTATTTAGATTTTTAATGCATGCTTTTATAACTATATATCAAAGCACATTCCTAGTTTGTGACTTCCTGTTACTTACAGTACAACAGCATTAAAAATAGTTCTGGAAGCTTTTTTCCATCTTTACCATGAGACCAGATACAGAATCTTTTCCAAAACTGCCGCAAAAGACTCCAAGCTGTCTGAGATAAACGTTAATCTTTATTGAAGGGACAGTACAGAGACATTAAGCTCATAGAGACAGATATGTTATGCACCAGATTATAGCCAGATACCCATAGTTTCCATCTGCAGTCCATGGTTACAGAGAAATAAATGATAGTATATGAAAGTGCATCCATCCGTTCTCTATCCACAACACTTTACCATTCACTACATTTCATTCTGCATTCGTTAAAGTTAGATTGTCCATCTGTGTTCTCTTTTGTAATTGTTCATTGTATGATTTGTTGTTGCGAGGTTTTAAAGTCTTTTGTGTCTCTGTTACTAAGGAACCTGCCTTGTCCAGTGCATTTACACTGACAGTCAATGTTGATGAATGTGCATTGTCCTCACTCATGAAATGAAACACATTTCCTAGGGTTAACTACATTTACAACTATATTAAAACAAATGAGATAAAACACATT